GCGCGCCCCCCCTTATCCCCGCCCCCCAGCACTTAGGTTGTTTACCCAGCTAACCGCAAAGGAAGACAGTGGTGCCTGTTTTCATATCTTTCACTCACAGCTGTCCCCCTGCACCTGCTCCTCCTCACTTCCCAGCTCTGTTCTTCCCACCCCTCCCCTAATTAATCCCTCCCCACGGCATTTCAAAACCAATTACAACCAAGTAATATGGGTTCAAAAAGACACTTCTATAACCTATGAGCCCAGGGAGGGAGAGGATGGGAGAGGGTATTCTGCACCCTAGCTCTGGATGGTCTCATGATGACTTCCTTTCAGGAGAGTGAGGGTCCTGCACAAGGAAGAGTGGTTGCACTGGCACACAGGGGCCCTGGTTAGTGGCGGGCAGACCTATTCCCTAACCTGGGTCTTTCCTTCTGGTCCCTGGTGCAGGTTGTTCTGGGAGAAAGGGATGAAGGGATACATTAGTACCATGGCAGAGCCATCTACCCACCCCTCACCTCGGCATCCCTCTGTTATCGCCTCAGTCTAGCCCTTCTTCCCTAATGCTCAGGACTGCTGTCTCTCCTCCGGTCTCCACTCTTGTCCCTCTCCTACGCAGAGGGCGGAGGAGTTCTCCAAACCACAATTCCCCATCACATCAGTGTCCTTGTCTGGTTCCAGGTTTACCTATAAGCAGTGCTTTTCTTTTCTTTTGCCTTCCCCCACCCCCAATTTCACACTGAATAGCAAGGCCAATTATAAGAAAAAGTCATGTTTGTGAGAAAGTTTATCAACAAAAGATTGAAGTAAGCCAGCTTCAGTGCATTCACAAAATACAATGCAGTGCTCAAAAAGAAATGAGGTTCATCTGTATGTTCTCTTAGAAAAAGATGCTTAACCCATATTGCTAAATTTCAAAACCAGTTGCAGGGCATCCCTGCAGCACGATTTCATGGACTTCCTTCACTAGGGCTGGGGCTGGGGCAGAGGAGGGGGAGTCAGGCTCTAGTCTCCCCTTCTTGCCTTTAAACTAGAGTCCTCCACTCTTGTCTCACGAGGTGTTTCACACAAAAGCTTCTGCTTAAGGAAATGGTTCTACTTTCATTTGAAAACCCTGGACTTGTAGAGAGAAGTCTAAATAAATCTCTATGTCTCTGACCTTTCAAACCTCATCTTCTACTTTATGGCTTTAGGCACCCTATCCTCCAGGTTTATCATTCTACTGGCTGCCTGTCCCCAACACCCCAGCACATTCTGACATCCCGGTCTCCAAAACTTTGCTCATACTCTTCCTTTTGCAGAGCAGTCCCCTAAGTTTGCCTATTTAATTCCTATGCTTCCTTCAAGGCCCCACTCAGCCCCATCCTCCTACGTCATTCCTAGCTCTTCCATTTGGAATCACGTTCTCCCTTCTTGCATTACGTGTGCCTTTATTACAGAAGTCAGGTTTGGGGTGTCCATTTCTTCACTAGCTGGTAAGCTCTTGGAAGCAGGCCTTCTACGCCCCCCTTACAATGCCACATGTTTTACACATGAGGTACATGCATCAAATATGTTCTTGTCTGCTCCAAGAGCAGTTTCCCAAGAGGCCCCTGTATTCTGGGAGTTTAGGCAAGTCTCTCTTTGCGCCTCAGTGAATACTCAGATACTCCCTTTCACCCTTCTTTAGTTCCTGCCTCCTCCCAATGCCCTTGACAGCCTAGAGCCTATCTTGGGTTTTCTCTCCGTATTTCTCTCTGTATTTCCAATATCGCCATTGACTATAATAACCATTTGACTCATACTGAATTCAGCAGGCGTTAAAGGGGGAAAACAGTGAGATGGGCAGTCTTCATGTAGAGCAAAACAATTCAGAGGATGGAGAGATGCAAGTCTTGGGATAGTCAGTGGGGCTGGACTCTGCCTACCTTGGCAGTGGTGGGGGCTTGGCTGTGCCACTATCTACTGGAGGGCTTAGGTGCAACTAGTCTGTCTAGCTAGAAGGCCCTTAATGAGAACCACTCAAGTCCTTACTCTCTAAAGCATCCAAATTGATTGGTTTATTTCTCATTTAAAGTCAGTGCAGTGAGATGTGTCCCCAGGACCCTAGAGACCACATCTCCTGAGAATTGAAGTTTAGAGGAGGAGTTGGGGTGTGGGACTGTCTCATCCTCCCTGCCAAGAAGTATTTATTTGGCAAAGTACTCGGGCAGAACGGGGAAGATGAGAGGAAGCTGTTTTGAGGGGTGCTGAGAGTTGGCAGTACATCTCAGCAGGAGGTGTCAAACAGATGTTTTTGGAGGCTTGGGAGTGGCACATGTTAAAGCCACTTCCCATACCTAGGGGAACAGGCACCCCCACCCTTCCCCAAACCAAGGAAGGTTGGTTCTGGCCTGGTGGGAGTTGAGGAATCAGGAATCCTGGACACCATGAGGAGTGGGGTGCAGAAGGGTGCTCTCCAAGACTCTTGTCCAAAGGGAGCACTCTTGCTGAGTGGTAACTAAAGGCCTTCATGTGCACACACACACGCTCTGACAGCAGTGTGTACTCCACATAGACACAGACGTGCCAGGCGAGGCCATGACAGCGTGTGGTACAAGCAAGGAGCCAGTGGATTACAGCTTACACAGAGGCCAGGGACCTGTGCGCAAAGGAGATAAAAAAACATGATGACCTGGATGAAGCTGAGTACTGAGCCAGCAATACAGATGGAAAATTGCTGTGAGCACTGGGGATGGGGCAGGAAAGGGGCTAGAACATTCTATGTGCTGGTTTTGAGGTGCCAGGAAAAGGGAGGGTGGGGAGAAGAGACTGAAATGCTTGGGCATGGTGAGATTACAAATGTTACTCTTCCCCTTCTTTCTCTTCTTCCTTGTGCCCCTCTCTTCTTTCTATCCTCTGGAGTCACTGTAGGACCCAGGCCCCTCCCTGTATAATTAAATTCTCCATGCCCCATCTGACTCCAAATAATGAGGCTGCCTCACCGCCCTGCACTGGCCAGTGTGAAGCTCAGCAAACATTTGCTGACTGGGATTCTTTGTCAGCAGGTGGTGCAGGGGGTGTCTGCCCTGGATCCTCATCTTGGATGACATAGCTAGAGAATATTTTTGGACAATGCAGAGTTCTCCACAATCTGGAATTACGAGCTCAAACTGACCAGTTGCAATTGATAGGGAAAAATATAGAGAGCTAGCTCAGATTTGAAGCTTCAACTGTCTGGTGACAAATTAGGGAAGATTTGCCTTAATGACAGTTTACGAGAAGGACCTGACAGTTTGTTGAGTGTAAGCTTAAGATGAGTCAACTGGGTGACGTGGCTACCAAAAGGGCTACTATTACCTTACTCTAGGTGAACAGAAGCCTGCAGGTGGGCATCTGGCACAAACCCAGTTTGTTTCTTCTGGATAAGGACGACCAGTTTTCTGAGGGGTCTGGAAATCCTCACCTTGGGAGGATGTTTTCAGCTACTGGGGTATAGAGTCTAGGGAAGGGAAGACTTGAGCCCTGGAGAACTGTGTTCTTCAAGGATTGACAAAAGCCCCATTGGGTAAGAGAGCAGTCTGGGCTTATTGTGTGAGGTTCTAGAGGGCAGACCAGGGGGAATGGGAGAGGTTGGGGCTAGGGGTGTTTCAGTTAGAGGAGAAAGAACAATGAGTTGGGGACCTTGGGAGGAAGAAGGATGTTCGAGCCTCGGTGTGTGGGAAGGGAAAGGAGGCTGAGCCCTGCCCTCAAATACTCCTCCCTCCCAGCTCCCAGATGCTCAGGTTTTCTGACTGTCATGCCCTGGCCAGGTCTGAGCTGGTTCACAGCATGATCTTCATGTAGCTCAACACCTGGGGGAGAGGGGAGCCATTTACTTCTCTCATCTGTCTGTCCTGCAGCCAGTGAATGCCCTAGCCTGACTTTGCTACTTAGCCCCAAGGAAGGAGGCATGGATGCTGAGTGCATAGTAAGCCCTGCGGAACCCCAGGACTCCAGAGGCCTGAGTCATACTGGCTGCAGGAGGTGTCTGCACACAGATGCAGATCATTGCTCTGGCCATAGGGAGCACACACGGCTCCATTTCCTTTTATGTCCCTGACTAGATATTCCCAGCCAAGAGTCGGGAGCTGTGAATGGGGCCAGCCAAGGCATCTCTCTCATCCTACCCTTCAGTGGCTTGAGGGGTACAGAATTCTGGAGGAATGAGGGTGGAGGTCTGTATTTCTTACCCCACTCTTCCTTCGGAGGGCCACACTCCCAAAAGACCATCTGAGACTCTGGCTTGCCATTTATCACATCTTTTCCTTTCCTCACCCCTACCCTTCAGGAGTGAGTGTGCCAAGCCCCTCTTTCATCTCTACCCAAGGGTTTCGGCTATTAGGAACATGAGAGTACTCTGGATGTGGTTCTGCGGGGAGGCTTTAAACTACCCCTACCTCTACACTGAGGTTTAAGGGGGTCCTCCTTGGCACACCAAATCAATTTGCTTTGGAGATAGAGTCACACAGTCTGAAGGACAAGTAAGATGTCTCCTAGGCATGTACAGCAATCTCTTGAAACCATCTCCTGGTAACTACTGATCTGAAATATTTTGTCCCATTATTCCTGAAAGAAAACTCATTCCTGTGTCCTGATTCTCAGTGTCAGATCCATGGCCACTTTTTATGCCATTGTGCCAGAGTGGACCAGCCAGTCTGTGGCTTCAAGGAAGGCAAGAGTTCCTATGGTCTGTGTGCCTGAGCCCAGATTCACCAACCCCTCCCCAGGCTGGCCCTGGGTCTCTCCCTCAACTCTAACCGCCCCCAATCACACCCAGTTGGGGCCTCCTCCACTGGGGTTCTTCTGGGACTTTTAACCTGGTGGAGGGGGGGCATCCTACCCTGCCCTAAGATAAAGCCCAGAAGAGCCTAAGCTAGTTTTGGTTCCTCTTCTTCATACCTCTTTGATGAAATGAGATGGTACATGTGGATGGACTTTGTAGCTTGTGATGCTTTAGTTACACTGAAGTCATAGTTTATGGGGGCCATCACTGGGGAGGGATCAGGGGAAGCCAGGTTCTGGAGATGGACCAGCTTCTCCCTGTTCTATAGTAGCGTCCCCTCCCGGCTGATATGCAAGGTGGGGCTGGAGGTGCAGTTTATGACTGGCCCCTGTGGGTGCCCTGGTCCCTGGTTCTGTCAAGAGGAGGCTCCAAGCTCTCAGATCAAAATTCCTATGGACAAAAGCTTTTCTAGTTTTGCCTAGATCTGCCTTCCCAGCAGGATGGGTCCCTAGCATGCTCACCCCAAGGACCTGGCTCCTTGTTCCTTATATTTAGCCATCTAGTTTTTTTCTGTTTGGGTCCTCCATTCATGGGAATTGGTAGCCCATCTTAAGAAAATGGACATTTTAAGTGGCTAGAGTTGATCTGAGAATTCAAGAGGAGAAAGGAAAGACAGGATGACCAACACTTGGCCCCCAGTTCTTAATGCAACAATGGAGTGTAGAACCCAGTGTTCTAGGAATGAACCAATATGTGGGTTTAAACAAGGACAGAGAAGGGAATAGGAAGCAAAAGGAATAGAAGCTAGATTAATTCCAGAGAGAAATGGTGAGCTAAGACCTTTAACGCATCACAAATCAATAAATACTTATTGAGAAGATAATACATGCAAGACTCCTCTGCTACTCTGCCACCCCAGAGCCTGTGTGCTGTGAGACACTGTCAGGAAGACCATCAGCACTGCTCAAGGCCCTGCTGTGAGTGGGTAGAGGTAGAGAGAGAGGGTCTGTGCTTCTGAGGGGGCAATAGCCCTAGAGAGAGAGTATACAGAAGGTAGGTGAAGGCAGGACAAGGCAGTGGGAGCTGGTAGAAAAAGAGCTTCAGAATCCAGATGGTCCCAGGACTTTTGGGCTTCAGGCTAAACCCTGATTGAGGGCACAGTGGGATGCTTGGTTCAAGACCACTCATTTGGGGTGTGACATGAAGCAAAAGTATATTTTCTTTGATATATGGAACATGCCATGCTGTCTCCCTGCCCCCAGCCATCACCTGTCTCTAGTAGGTCATGCAGTGGAGTGAGACATGCAGTTAGGGGAAACTCTTGAGGTTTCTCGGAAGCTAGGACCAGCCAGGTCTGAGGTAGGTTACTATGATATCCAACTGGGTCAGGGCTCGTGGTCAGCTTGAAGCTGTGGGCAGAAGGAGACACCCAGTAACTTAATCGGGTGAGGCCAGGGGCCAGGACAGGGACCAAAGTGGGAGCACATTGCCTTGTCAGAGTAATGGCGTTTTAGTCTGATTTGGGGTATTGCCCAGACTCTGCAATTAGACTCACAGCCTGCTTTATGGGCATGTGACCCAGGCAGTCACGCAGCGTGCTGCACTTAGAAGAGCCCCACACTTAATTTAGTGCTTAGCTGTTGCTCTCATGAAATTATTAATTTTTGAACAAGGGGTCCTGGATTTTCATTTTGCATTGGGTCTCACAAATTATGCAGCAGGTCTGATTAGGCTGATGGTTCTGTTTCTGCTTTTATATTGAGAGATCAGACATTGGATAATTAGCCCTTTCCCTCGCCTTTTCCGCCCCATGTTCTACTTACATTTCCAAGCCTTAGGATCTGGGCAAGTGAGAGGCAGACTTTTCCAGGCAAGTCTGGGAATACAGTTGATGGAATTACAATATAGACTCCAGCTGGGGGAGATGGAGGGAGTTGGAGAACATCTCAGGGTGAGTTTAAGGTCAGGAGAGCTGGTGGCTACAGGAGGAAAGATTTGGATCTTTCATGATCCAGCTCGGAGTGCAGCTCAGAGAGTGGTCTTTTCCCTAGAAGGGCTATTGACCACAGGAGAAAGAAGAAAAGACCACAAAGAAGTTCCCAGAATATCCTTAAAACAGTCCTCTGCTGCCTGTAAACAGGACCCCTGGTATCTTTGGTTGAACTGCTCCTCACACACGTCCTTTGGGAGCCCTGTGACAGCCAAGCCAACTGCTTCATGGGAGAGACTTAGGTGGGGGGCAGAGTGATGCTAGGACCATTTTCTTAGCCACCCAAGAGTTCCTTTTCCTTAGAGATTCTAGTCCTTTGAGGGAGGCCACAACATGTTCTAAAACATTTCTAGGACTAACACAAAGTCCTCTATCCAACTTGGCACACCCTGCTCCCTAACTCCAATCCACTGGGGTCCCTTGCCGACCACCTGGTCTCACACTTCTTCAGTTTAGCATGTAATCATTGTCTACGAGCTTCTGGTGAGTGATTTTTTTTCCTTCTTGGTTAGACCATAAGCCAAATTTGAGGGCCAGGACCAGGTCCTCAACTTCTCCATCTAACACAGAATGTAGTGCTCTGATGATATAATATGATATAATCATATAGCAAGAGATGAATAAATATACATTGATTGGTCAGCTAGCAAAATCAACTCCTGACATTAAGAAAACTTCCAAAGTACTTTCCCATCTAGCCCCTTATTCCAGCCCTAAGAGATAAGGAGAGAATGGAGAGGCAAAGTGACTTGTTTCAAGTCACATAGCAAGTCAGGGGGAATGCAGAACCTGAACCCGTACTTCCAACTCCCTCTAAAAGGTGTCTGTTTAAGGCAATCGCTCTGTTTATCTGCTTCCTCCATGGAATGGAAAATACAGTCTTAAAAGGCAGGTGCCAGTGGGCCTGTCTGCATTTTGCTGGTCTGGAGTGGCAGGAAACGCCACAGATACCCCTTCTTCCTTGGGCCCTCGGCCCATCATATTTAAAATTCCAAGTGGGGCCTGGGGAACCATGAGCTATCTGTTCCTACTCACCAGGTCCTCCAGGCTGTCATTCATGAGGTCCATGTCCAGGGTTAAGGGGTAGTTCATAGTTGTAGCTGTACGTCTCCAGACTGGTCAATCACCGTCTGATGTTGAAAGACTCTCCGCCTGGTACCTATAGAGGTGGCAGCCGTCAGCTGCAAATTTAAACAAATGAGCTGTGTGCTGTCTCCTGGGGCTGCGTAGGACCCACTGCCTGCCTCGCAACTCATCACTTTTTTTTTTCCACTGGGTCAAGTTAGTTTACTTTCAGACACAAGAAAGAAGCCAAATTTTCTATCCTAGAAAAGCAGCTCACTGAGAGAAAGTGAGCAGGGGAGTGTAATAGGTTGGCTACAATTCATGACCACCGGTAGAATGACCCTCTAAATGTAGCATCAAACACTGAAGTTTTTCTGGGTCTTTTCTGTTTTTTTTTTTTTTTTTGAAGAAAAAGGGAAAATCCCCATAGCTTCAGTGCTAGTCAAGCATTTCAGCTTCTTTCCTGGCAATAGTTGTCTCATTTGGGGCTTGTGACTGATTTAAAGGCTGCCCATCACTTCTCCCTGTACCTCCATTAGCCTTCCAATAAGGGAGTTGTACCTTGTAGTGAAAACCACAATAATCAAGTGAGGCAATGAAGGAAACTCCACATAGAAAGGGAACAAGAGAGCCTTTCCAGGACCACTCCTCCAAGCCATCTCCATCTTTCTTGCCACTAGGGTGACCGATCATCCATTTTGCCCTGGACCAAAGGTCCCTTCTCCTGGGAAACCCGTCAGTCCCAGGCAAACTGGGACACTCGGCTACCCCAATTGCTACCATCTTTTTGCCCAGGCCAGGGCAAAATCCCCTCCCTTTTTAGCTCAGAAGAAGTACGTTAGAAATTTTCAAAGGGAAGAACACTAAAACATTACTGGAAGTCAAAAATGAAATACCCAAATTACCAAGCACAAAAACATAAACAGTGCAGAGTCATTTTCTGACTCAAAAATAATAATGTTCTAGCTACAAATTAACTTGGTTGGCACATAAATTATTAACATCATAGACTGACTACCCAGCTAGAGTAGATTTTTTACACAGGAGGACACTAAGGCCCAGAGAGAGAGAAAGTTAGGTTTCCAGGATCCACAGCTACTCAGTGGCAGAGTTGGGGCTTGAAGCCATGTTTCCAAACGCCGTAGTGTTTTCTCTATACACCAGGCTGCCACTCTTACAGGCTTATGTATCCTCTTTCCTTTCCCTCAACTCTGCCCTGTCCAAAGACTCCTTCCTTTAAGAAGCCCCTTTGTAGTTATTGATCAGTTTCCCCTCAAGTCTCATCTTTGTGTCTTTTCTCTCTTGGTCTACAATGATTTAAAAACAATGACTGCACACACAGAGGTGCCCACACATGACCTGCTGTTCATTGCCCCATCTCAAACCTTGTGATCATTCTCCCCTCCCAGCCAAATTATCATTCACTGGGATTCTACTCTTTTTAGTGCCCTCTCTCACCTTTCCCTCCATATTCATCTTCCCCCTTTCTCTCCTGAATACCTTGTTTATAACCTTCACTTCACTCTATTTGTGCTGTTGGGGTTTTTCTTTCCTCTCTTTATTCACTTCCTTCAGCAACTGCATTCAAGGAGGAAGACTCCCAGGACAAGGGTGGGAGTTCCTCTCCTGCACTTCCAGTCCTGAAACCTCTGGAAGGAAGTGGCTCCAGTGTTTCCTGTGTTCCAAGCTTGCTCTGCAGGCCCTATTTTTTCAGCACTCCTCCAACATCCCTGCCCTTCCAATCCATTGATATATTCAACTTTGCTACTCTAAGGACATTGATCAGGAAGGAATATAGTATATAGAATCATATAGGCATCGGAAGGAAATGTGGAAGAGAAACCAATCCATCCTTACTCGCCTTCCCTTGCCCTCAGCAAATGCAAGATTTTTGTCACTACATCCTCATAGATGGTCAATCAATATTGGACAAACATCACCAAGGGTGAGAAACTTGTTCCTTTCAAGAGATTGTGTTTTAATGTAAGATGATTTAATCATTAGAAATTTATCCTTCATGCTGAGTCAAAATATGTCTCCCTGTAACTCATCCCCAGAGATCCTGACTCTGCTTTCTGTCCAGACTGTCTAGCTCTTCTTCCAGAAAGTACCCTCTAAAGACAGATATCACATCCTTATTGATTTCTAAAATACACATATCTGGTGTCTTAAACCAGTCTTTAAAGGACATGGCTTCTGGGTCCCTCATCAGACTATTCTTTGACCTCTGGCTGATTTCTGGTTAATGGTCTACGTATTATCTAACTAGGACAAAATGTAGGAAGATAAGAGTTTCCTGGTTCAAGATTGTACTTATACAACTGCAATTAAAATGCTTTTTCCTGTGGACTCCCACTTTCCTTCACAACATACCTAGCAAATTTCATCTTGATGGTTCTAGTTTGTCATCTCAGCTTATAAAGTGAAACTTTTGAAATCCTGAGTCAGTCATCTGATAGTGTGATGACGACTTAGATAAGCATGCCATACTTGGGTTTACCTGAGTCCTGATGGAAAATATTGACAGGACAACGTCAAAAACAGAACCCTGCTTCATGTCATTAGAGACCTTCTATTCTCAAAAGTCAGGGGAGACTTCATGGAAGAAGTAGGACATGAGCTGGACATTGAAGGTTTGGATAGAGTGAAGAGCTGATGCGCCTGGAGGGGAGAGTGTATGGTAAGGGATGGGAGATGATGAGGACTGCATGAGAAAATGTGCGAAAAGAGTTACTCAAGATGTGGGGTGTGTGGTTATGGTAGTAATGATGATGATGATGTTGGAGAGTGGGCAGCAGGAAGAGGTTGGTGTATGCACCAGAGAGGATAAGAATTGCTCTTGTGGCTTTCTCCTCTCCTATTCCCACAGTTGTCCATTTTCCTTGCTGTGTTGCAGAACCAGAAAAGAGATTTGGAAGGAGGCTCAGGACTACTCCTCAGGTGCAGCAGCAGGCTATGGCAATAGTTTCAGCTGTTATGGTGTGGGGCAGTGAGGCATCTATTGCTTCTCAGTGGCTGACTTGAGTTTTATGGAGCAGAAGAACCTGTGACTCTCACCTGAACTCTCCAGTCCCTCAACTTCTGGGGGCTTCTCATACCATGGACCTATTCAGACCTTCCTGTCTCTCTAGATGACCTTCCTGTCTCTCTAGATGCTGGGACATGCTACAGGTTCCTAAGGCCCACTTGTCCCAGGCACTGATCTTTTATGGTCAGTTCAGTTTGCCCTAAATGGGTAAGTACCTTTTGACCATGAGTTCTAATGTTGCCTTAGAAGATTCAGAGAGTAACTGCTTCTGTAACCGTTATGCCGTACATCTGAAACTAATGTAATATTGAACATCAATTGTAATTAAAAAATTAAAAAGATGATCTTATAATTTTCAAATCTAAAAGCCAGATTCGCCCTCCCCCCCTCCCCCCCAAGATAGAGGAGGCAATGCCTAGACTGTGATCCCTCGACTTGAAAGATGAGAAGGCAGGGGTCCCACCTGTGTGTGACCATCAGATGGGGAGGATGCTTCCAGGTGAGGCAGCCCAAAATTTATTTCAATATGCAACTTGTTTATATTTCTAGTATGTTAGATCCCAATCCCCACCCTATGGACAGCCTATGGCTGAACTGATTTCCAGACTCCTCATCAAAATGACCACTGGTGGTTTTACCAAGACTGAACTTGTGTCTGCCTTAGGTGGATGGCTGCTTAGCATCAGCTCAGGTGGATTTTTCTCAGTAATTTCACTGCACAGTTTATGGATTATATTAAATTTCTATTGATTCCAGATACTAGATACAATCACTTGTGTTGGAGTTCATTTCCCACATTCTACAGAAAAGTTAAGTTGTTCCATAGAGTGTTGGGGTGCACAGAATGGGTTGGGGTTTTCCCCCCTATTTTTTTCACTACCCTGGGATTCCCTCTCTGACTTGGGCAGAGATCTTTTTCTCTTCTTTCTCTGAGTCTTTCACAACTGTTCAGAACAGAGCTCCACAGGTCTCCCCGCCAGTGAGTGAGTCTGCCTGAGGAAGTGTTGGGCATTCTTCTAGGCACCCAAAGTGAATAACAATAACATTTGCATACTATTTACCAATGTACAAAGCCCTACAATTTTTGTCTTTCTTTCTTTCTTTCTTTCTTTCTTTCTTTCTTTCTTTCTTTCTTTCTTTCTTTCTTTCTTTCTTTCTTTCTTTCTTTCTTTCTTTCTTTCTTTCTT